AGATGTAAATCTCTTGAATCTTTTGATTCACTTTCTCCAGGTCAGAATTCACCACAGATGGTGTCGATCAGTTCGGCCTCTGAGAGACTCACGTTGAGAGCCATTCGACTGCAAACTCGATACCTCACCTACCACCGCTAATAAGCGGAGATCGCCTTGGAAACGACCTATAGAAACGTGCTTGGGTATTTATTTACACACATGTATAAATCTATGTGCACGCAATGCACAAACACGTACGACTGCGGTATCCGCGCGCGATCATGAGCGCATGATGCGCGCACGTACGTACGTTTTCAGCTGTCTCCCTGTTTCAAGCGTGTCTCAGGAGAAAGGGAGACTTCAAGAGAGGCAGGGAGAGGGATATCGGTAAGACACTCCGTCCTGCACGACACTTATTTTTATGCCCGCTCATTTGCACCCGCTTATGGTCGGGCACGTGCTACCCGGATCGATGAAGCGCGGCCCGTTGTGTAACGCTTTGCAAGCTGTAAAAATACGACATATTTGCACTGAGGATCGACGCGCGTCGGCCGCGATTCCTGTTCTAAATGTCCGTCTAAATGCTTATTGCTCCCTTTCTCCTTTCCCTCTCTCAATTCAAAGATTCCGAATCTGCCGGGATCCGTTCATTCCTTCGTCTACTCGCGAAGTCACTTCGCGCGAGGGAGAGCCGGCACATGATCGCCCGCTCTGTGGCCCTCTTTCACTTCGTACTTACGCGGATGGTGAACTCGACTCGGCCGGAGGGCACCGTGTTTAGCCGCGAGAACCGCGGTAAAGTCGTTCAAGAGGCTCAAACGCGCCGTAATGGCGGTACGACGCATCGCAAATTTAAAATTACGCTGACGACTCACTCCGGCGGCCGCGCGATAAGCATCGTTTGCACCGAGGCAAAAAACTGGCCCGAACTGCACCGCGAACCGATAAACCGCGATAAATCGCAAATTAACCTTTGAGCGGGCGTGCAGCGGCACTTCATGCCGCAAGATTGGTTTTTCTGAAAGATCACTTGTGATACGCTTCCCCCTTTTCTATTACGGTCTTTTGTATTCTTCAATCGTCATGCCTGTTATAAAACAGTACATATTTCATCTTTTTCCCATCAAGAGATTACTCGTTAATCAGTTCAATCTAGTAAGTCATGTTTTGCGATACTCTCCAATATTCTGAGATATTCGGACGGTTTTATTTACATTTTATGTTACTATTATTATTTTTGTTTAGGTTTTTATATTAATATGTCCTTATTTAAACTGTCTTTAGTTGATATTCCTTTTTTTAATTATCTAGTCACGCTCATATTATCTGGTTCACAGATTCATATAACATAAATTTAGAAATGCATAAAATTACAAATATATTTTACTTCTTTCCACATATTTACAATTTTTATCACAGCTTTATAACAAATAAATAATAATTTCGCGATACGAAACTCGTCGCGCGTTAGGCTTCAAATGTCTCTGACGAAATCGAAAGTGATTTATTAAAATATCAAAATATTTGCCAAAATATCTACGCTGAGACAAAAGAACAATATCTAAGAAAGAAAAAAATATTTATAAAAATTTCTAAAAATTTTTTGCAATAAAATTTCATTTGAAAAATAAAGTGACAGCCGAATCATTCGAATTTGAGTTACTTTTTACTCTTCTAGAGTGAATCTTTCCTTTAAATTATTATAAATATTATTGTAAATATTTCTACTCAAAATTTAAGAGTAAACCTGATGCATTCCACCGTGAAAGGAAGATATTCTCACTCTAATCGACTAAAACATTCGCTCATATGGAGTAAAAATTTACTCTAATCTTAAATGAAACGTTCACTTTTATGATTTCGAGTGATGCTATTTTCACTATCGCCTCGAGTGAAAATACTGTCATTTTTTACTCTAAGAAATTTAGAGAGTGACATATTTGCACTGAGGAAAAGGTATTTGGTGTTTGTAACTATAGTCGCATAGTAAAAGAATTCTAATCAAGAGAATCATTTTTGTAATAAGTGTCACTATAATGTTAGTGATAATAACTTTATATGCACTTTGTGCTGCAATATCCAGAGTACCCGTTATCCATTGTACCCGAACAAGAACTGGTTCTGCGGGTACCCGTATAAGACATGGGTATTCGTATGACACGTGTGTATCACTATTTGACATTTACCACTATTTTGTTGAGAAAAATAAAGAATAATAACAAAGAATAATGGCGAACTTTGGTGAAGTGGCGTCACGTTTACGTATGATGTTTGTCATTATTCTTTGTTACTATCCTTTATTTTTCTTGATAAAATAGTGATAAATGTCATATATGGGAGTACACGTATCATTCAAATACCCGTGTCATATGGGTACCCGCGGAACCGGTTCTTGCTCGTGTACAATGGATAACGGATTTTCAGTTTTCTTTGTCATCCGGTTCTATTTCCTATAGCATTGCTGCTACAACTGTTTTGTTAGAACAATAAAAGTATAGTTGACGCCAAAAGTAACTATAATTTTAGTAACGATACCATTTTTTCTTCTCAATGCATAAAAAAGTTTCTTCTACACGAGAAAATACATGTATTTTCTTGAAACAGTTAGTTCTCACAAAAGCAATTGTTTCTTTTACTCAGCCAAAAGAGTTTCGATTTAAGTAAATATGTCATTAGTCATTAGTCATCGAACAAATATTTTATTATCTTCCCAATATTCTTTCTCTCTGAAATATCTAAATGTAGCCGGAAAGGTTTTAAATAATCGCACAATTTATCGATCAAAAGAAAATCGCAAATCTCCCCAATTAACTCTTCTCAAGAACACGTTCTCCCTTCGCAACGGCACCCTCGTCCCCTTCTAGCTAAACTCCTGCATTGCAATAAGTCATGCAAAGTAACGAGGGAAATAATTGAACAATAAATAATCCCATCGCACCTGCGTCGCTCCTCCGCGGCATGATGACTCCCGTTCTTGCATTATACTTCTTGATAATTCGTATTTCTGGAGAACTAACTGTACACGCGTCTCTTGCTGGGCCGCGATATCTTTAATCAAACAAAAGAGGATACCGAGACCCGATGACTCGGACTTTTCCCGACTAAAAGAACGTCGGACAGCTGGCGCAAGGTGCCCCCTTTCAGCGTTCCTGCCGAAAGTCCGTGCGTTCGTTGGGCGCAACCTTGCGCTCCTTCCACCGGCCACGTGCCAACCGTACCCCCGAGTTCACTGGGCGTAAAAAGCTCGACGCCAAATTCGTCAACCGGCGCTTCACGGACGAGTCGCGATGATGCCTCGGCGATTATGAATTATTTCTTTCCTCGGTGTCTGTCCCCTCAAGTGACGCGCGCGCGAACATTTCAATTTCACTCCGTCCTGCTCCGAGAATAAATGCTGATATAGAACGTGTTCTTTCTTAACGTTGTACCACGAATGTGAATCGCAAGAAATCGGAAGTAGAAACAGATTAATTCACGCGACATGAGTCAGTCGGAAGAAGAGGACGTAGTAAAAATTATTGCATATGAAGAAAAAGAATTGTATTACCATGACAATGGACGAATAAACGTGTTTCAATTGAAGGGAACAGAGCTTCTGGTTCTTATAAACCAAATTCAATTCTGTGAATTTGTAAATTATAAATTATTGATTACAAATTTCCAATTCTTACGGATTGAAATTGATTCTACACTAAGAGAAAATATCTAAGAAATAAAAGTATTTATTCGATGGGTCCTATTTATTCATGACCCCTATTTACTTATATTAATATAAAATATTTTTTATCAAATAAAAAAATACACATTTTCTTAAAAGCTTAGCTTTTCATAAAATCAATTGTTTAATTTTATTCAAATAAAGACATTTTGATCTAAGTAAATACATTATTAGTATCCTATAAACAAATAAATATTTTTTTTATTTTTTAGGTATTTTTTCTCTCACAGTGTAAAAACCAGAAATTCTGTTTCCTTCAGCCGAAACATGTTTATTAGTTAGTTCATTGTCGCGTTAATTCAGTTAACCCTTTCTCTTTGTGCATTATAAAGATGTTATCATAAAGCTTCTTGTGTAAGTAATTAAGAATTAGTCGACACTCAGTCTTTGTCCGCTCTTATTTTCCGTGCATCTTTTTTATTTTATTCGACATCAATGATGTATAAATCGCAAGCTGAATTTGCTCACATCGAAGCAACAGGATAATACTTCGTATATATGTATTATATGTCTGCAATATTATATATAATCTTAAAGTAGCACGCGCGCCACAAAAATACAGAAGTCTGTTAATATTCCGGGAACTTCTTTCTCAGCGGCGTGTAACCGTTAGTCGAGAACTTCTGTGTACTCTGTTATTTACAGTCGGTAATACGCAGAAAGAGAATATTACCTGCAATTCCAAGTATAATACATCAGATGTTATTGACGCCTTCCACAATGCCGGCTCAGGCATTTTTTAGTAAATAGGTTGCATATGAAATTCTAAAAGATTTTTAAAAAAGTAAAAATTGATAGATGAATACTCTGATAGAAATGTATTTGCGTACGGTACCGTAATACATATATAAAGCTATTTGTGTATAATATTATATATATATATATTTTTTTTTTTTTATATAAATATTTATAAATTTAATTTAAACTTATATATGCAAAGGAAAAGAATGCATGGCTGCGTAAAATAACTATAAATATATTTAAAACATAAGAAAAATATTTATTATAGTAAATATGATTATATGCCATGTATAATAATAAATGTGTGTATAAGTAATACCTCTTTTTCCGTACAAGAGCCAATGAATGTTTATGTCGGCGTGAATACGTGATCGGTCAAACTTAGAATCGTCGGTCAAACTTAGTATCGACAAATGTTTCAGTGCCGAGAGAGAAACATTGTCGAGTGAAACGTTTGTGGACGATACTGTAATCTGTCCATATGAGAATATACATAGAAAAGTAAACTAAAAGTATCTTAATTCTGCGTCTTAAGATACGCTGGCTCAAATACACACGACACAAACACTTGTAGAAAATTATAGTAGCGGGTAGAGTGTTGAACTAACGATAAACGTGAAAGAATTCGAACAATCGGAGATTGTTGCTAGAAACCGGCCGATCAATCGAGAAATTGGACAACGCTGAAGTTTACAAATTTATCACATATAAAGTGCTCGTAAATGATAACTGGACTTCGTCCAGCAAAGTCGTCTCACTTTCAGTGAGAAACACTAGCGGAATATTCGCTCACGTAAAACGGAATAATTGTTCACATTGGAACGAACAATATACGAAAACAGTATACAAAATATAGACTGCGTTTAACTTCCCACTAGCCGATTATAAGTGGCAATGTTTGTTAATACAGTAAGTGTCCCAATAATTGAAACGTTAATAATATATTTGTATTTAATATTTTTAAAAAAGAATCTTTGGAATTTCATTAAATAAAAAAGAGATATTACTTTATGCCAATTTGTACTATTATTTAACGAGCATTCAATTATCGAGTCTGTATTATTTAGTAATTAGAATATAATTAATTTTTTTAGTTCAATTAATTATATTAAAATTATAATTGGTATTTATTAATTATATATATATATATATATATATATATATATATATATATATATATATAT